AATTTGGTTGCTTTGTATCCGAGGAATTATTGGACGTTGAATTCAAGTTCGAGAGTGATCGAATGGAGTTTAAAGGATCGATCGTTATGGCATAGAAATAGAGGTAATACTCTACTACCTTTTGCATGCTTTTTGGAACACATTGGTAATTGGTAAATGCATGAATGGAAATAATTGGTCCATTAAGGTAGTTAACTATCTTTGGACTCAGACGGAAATTGGATTAAGGACGGAACATTGTATAAGATTCTAATGGCTTGAAAAATAAATTGGTAGACTGATCGGAAACCAATCTCAGTTCAATGAATAAATTAGTAAATCAATCAATCTTCGATCGCGTAAATTCTAATTAATCTCATTAAAGATTAAATGATGGAAATATTTGGATAAGAAATTACCAATAATAGTGCTATGGGGTAAAATTAAAAAAAAAACGCCCTTGTACTGAAAATGATCCAGATATCCCTTAATGGTGAAAATAACCTCAAGTGGTCAAATGAACAAAATACTCTAAACTCTAAAGAAACTAGAATACTTATCCAAAGTAATTCCACTGACATAATTGGATGAAATGACAATAATACCCTTAAAGTGCCCGTCCGAGCCCTGTAATAGCTAATACCTCAGCTCTGAAATGAACAGATCAACCTCTTATACCAATATGATTATATTATATGATCAAATTAAACAGAATGGAAGTCCAGTATGTATTCGAATTTCGGAAACGATAGAATTACTCTGGAAAACTCTTAAGTGACCGAGGTAGACTTGACTACTAATGACCTGAGTAATCTTCAATAACTATGTGAGTAGCTTGGATAAGTTTGGAAACACTTATGAGTTTACATGTTGTATCGTCTCTATGGGTTATGAACCACGAATTGAGTACGTTGACATTTTCTGATATTGTTGCAACATAGAAATGAAATAAAGACCATTGGTATATCTATTCGTTTTTTTAAGATCTATCTAGCGATGATTCTGAAGATGATCTATGGACAAGAATTGTTGGTATTAAATAGTGAATACCCTGGAAGGGCAACAAATTAACTGATCGACATGCATTAGTCCTGGGAGTTATTCAGCTCGAGTTACTCGATATTCCGATAGATCAACACAAATCGTAAATTTTGTTCTGAATCTTCGTTTCTCCCTTATCAGTTCAAATTACTTGAATCCTCCAGGAATTTAATGCCCAAAATACTTTTGATTTTCCTAAATAATGGAATCACTCTGGTCATACCTGAAAACACAAGTAACTCAGATGCAAAGGATTCTGAATACATTTCTGATTATTTAGTGCCTTCGAAAAATATCCCAAAACTATATAAGCCTGATAAATCACATTCTTAATAGCTGATGATCCCATAAGCTGATGAACTCTTTCAATAGTTATTTTAAGTTCTGGCATTATATTGGTATACTGAAGATTCGTGTTTCTCTGCCTGATAAGATTATCCAATATCTCCGAATAATATCTTGAACCTCTAGTGTGTTCCCTGATCACATGGATGTTTTATCTAATTTCTATTCTGATCTCTACTTTGATTTTTGATATCTCTGTTTACTGACTAAAAATATGTTATTTTGGGTACTCTAGGATATGGTATGAAGACTCTGGCAGGTTCAGTTGTTGCACATAATTCCTTGTATAGGTTCTGCACTGACTGGTAATTCCTATTTTTGGCAGGTTCAATTGCTGTTGGTAATTCCTTTTATAGGTTCAGCACTGACTGGTAATTCCTTATGGACCTAAGGCGACCTTTGGGTAGGCTCTGAGGCTCCGAGAATCTTTCTTGGGTAGGCTCTCAGGCCCCAAGGTGCCCCCTTAGGTTATGCAGTTCTGGGGAACTGTATATGACGTTCGGTTGGAGGGACTACTATGGTTTTGAAAACAACATATATGTCCCGAATGATCACTCCTTAAGGACCACATACATATTCCAATGGACCAAATAGGTGTATCGAAGTACCGCATATATGTTCCAAAGGATTACATATATGTCCCGAAGGACCACGTAGAACCATCGACTCTTGGCATGCCAACTATACCTCTAGCTCTCATTTCATATAACATGGGCATTATCATTTATGTTCATCATTTATTCACATATTCATATAATCACACAAATCATCACATACTTATACCCTTGTACTTGTAATCTCATATCTTCTTTTCACATGTGTATCGAAGTACCGCATATATGTTCCAAATGATTACATATATGTCCCGAAGGACCACGTAGAACCATCGACTCTTGGCATGCCAACTATACCTCTAGCTCTCATTTCATATAACATGGGCATTATCATTTATGTTCATCACATATTCATATAATCACACAAATCATCACATACTTATACCCTTGTACTTGTAATCTCATATCTTCTTTTCACATAGATCATGTAACATTCTCATGTAGCCCCATAGCCCATTGTCTTATAAATATCATATCACCTAGCTTATATCATATAACATATACTTTGTTCTCTTATGATCACATATTCATATAACTTTATCACATAGATCATACTCTTTCACATATAGTCTCATAATTCATTATCATATGGTTATTATCATCATCACATAGTATATATTCACACAGATCATATAACATATACAATAACATATCATATGCACTCATATCAAACACATGCTTATATTCACGAATTCATGCATTCTAATATAGGAAATAGACTCGTCGCAAGTCTTATTTCTATTAAACATCATAAACCAACTAATATGCACTCACCTGGCCTCACTAGTCAATACCGATCTCTTATTTCTTTCTCGATGATTATTACATGGTTAACTTGTCCGGACTTTGCTCTCGATCGTTATCTACACAATCATACATTTGATAATCATATCAGAATTCTAAGTATGATAGTTCGATCCTTAATAACTCAATTCTAAAAGAAAAGCTTAATACATTTTTTCCCTTTAAATAGTATCGGTACCCTATGTATGGTATTGATACTTCCCTAGCTGTGGTATTGATACCAAGACTGAGTATTGATACCCATTTTCGATTATGTGATCCTTATTTCTAAAATGGTACCGATACTGGCCAAATGGTATCTGTACCCTTAGTATCGATACCCCTTGAATGACTTGTCAAATTTTAGCTTTTGGTATCGATACTTATTCATATAGTATCAATACCCTCTCTCAAATTTGACCCTTTTACTCTTTGAAATATCGGTACTGGATGAACAGTATCGATACCCTATGCCCATAATTTATCTTTTTAGCTTGAAAATTCACCAATACTTACATATACCTTCCATTTTTAACTCATTTCATGATACTAAACTTAACTCAACTTACTTAACCTATCTTATATTCATATAACACATCCTCATCTTCAATATTTCATCCTAATTCTTAAAATCAAGAATCCTACAAGTTTTCCAACATACTCCAAATTCAATTCTAACACTTCATACTTCTTAATTTAGCTGATGACAAGTCAAATTTAGTTTCAAACTTTACTTTCTAACTCTCTCCCAAGATTTTACTTATAACACTCTCATCTTTAATCCTTCCTAACTTCTTCATCTTTTGATTTTAAGATAACGTAAGCTTCACTTAAGCTTTCTTATTATCTCAAGAATTAAAACCAACTTAAAAAATGAAAGGAAACCTCAAGAATTAAAACCAACTTAAAAAATGAAAGGAAACATTCACTTGAAACCATTTTACCTTACCAATGGAGCCACGAGAAGAGAAAAAGAATAAAACCAACCAAGTCTCTAGAGTTTTCTTTCATTTCTTCCCATCTCTACGTGTTTACGATCCTATATAAAGGGAAGATAAAAATTATTCCTTTGAAAAGACCAATTTACCCCTTATTTTATTTAATATTTACTAAACAATTCCTTACAAAACATTCCCAATTAAATCCCTGAACTCTTAACTTATTTTGAAATTAAGCACAAAGTTTTCAAAATTTATATTTTAGTCACTAACCCTATTTTTAGGATATTACACTTTGACTGAACTGTCCAACAAGGTTATCATCAACATCACTTGCATGTGGTTCAGAGGGTCCTGCTTCTCCTGTTCTTCGAGTTGGTACTGATAAGGTTGGAATATCAGTTGCAATCGTGGTTTCGACGTAAATCTCCACCATATTATTATTTGATGATTGATGAAGTCCAATCATAACAAAGACATCGTCATCATCATCAAGCTGGACTTTTTCATATGTTATTGGATCTGAGGAGATCAGGTGCTGATAACTTAAACATGAAACATAAACTCCAAGTTTTTTTCTCAATTTTTTGCTTCATTTGGCGATGCGACACATCTACAGGGAACATCATATTGATGAGCATGTGTGACTTAAACACAACCCCAACATCATTTTGTAGAATTCCGCCATTATAATGGACAACTATGAGGAATTTATTGCTCATTGTTTGAAATATATTTGGTTAGATAAAAAGAAAGTGTTGTGTAAGAAATTGAATATGAAATGAGTGTATTGTGTAAGAGAAGAAATGAGTGTATTATGTAAGAGATTGAAGATGATGTACACTATTTTAAGAGATAAAATATTTTTAACCGTTGGAACTTGTCACACTAGCGTGACGAGTTCCATTAACTTTTAAAAAAATTGTTCGTTCAATAACGATCACCCTAACGGTCCAAAACTTTAAATTTATACCTCTTGGAACTTGTCACACCGACGTGACGAGTTTTCTATCTATTAAAATATTATTTTTTTACAACTTTTTAAAAAAAAAAATTAAAAATTATTTTTTATTAAAACTTGTTACGCATACATAACGAGTCCCTTAATATATATTAAATATATTCGGGCTATGAACCCACATCTCATAGCACATTAAAAAATATATCTCATAAAACTGGTAACATCGATCGAACGGATTCCACATCTGCGTAACATTTATCGTAGATCTCAATAAATATCAACGTATCCTATTGGGCTAAATAAATGTCCCGCTTGGATTATATGGTCAATTCTGCCTTTTCTTGTCGTATTCCTTTCACGGTGTCTTTTTTACACGTCACTTTCCTTCCACACAAACTAATGGGAGAAGAGGACTCTCTTTTACCATGGAACGCAGCCGCCACGAATCTCCGATGAACAACCCCTCCCGATCCACCCCCGCCATGGAATTAACAGGACCTTCCCGTTTCAGCCACCCTAAATCGCCATCTACAGACAGATTCCTCGGTGTCTACCCCCACGCGCCTGCATCTGACCACCCTTCATCCTCTTCCGCCGTCGGGGAAGAGCTCAACGAAGATGACATCTTCTTCTCCGAAAACTCCGATGGTTACAATTCCTCCGGCGGCCTCCATAATTCTCTCCAGAGAACATCTCTGTCCTCCCCCCTTAACCATAAATCATTTCCTCTATCCGAGAACTTTGGAATCCTGGCCGCCGTACGGGATTCGTCCCGCCCGAGCTCCCACTTCTTTAAAAAGCCCTCGATTTCGTCTTCACCGTCGTCTTCCTCCTCTGCCACTTCAGCAACTTCATCCACTTATCGTTTAATCCCTTCAGTTCCGAAACCGCCACAAGAGCGAGTCCCGATCGGCGCGACTTCTTTAGGGATTTATCATCAATCGGCGCCGGTTAACGTGCCTATTCTGGCGAAAACGACGAGAACAAACAGGGAGTTGGAAGATGATTTAGAGTTGGACGTGGAGGAAGAAGGGGAAATGTTGCCGCCGCATGAGATTGTAGCCAGGAGCTTGGCGCAGTCCCCTATGTTGGCTTGTTCGGTGCTCGAAGGCGTGGGAAGAACCCTAAAAGGAAGGGATCTTAGGAAAGTAAGGAATGCTATTTGGAGACAAACTGGGTTTCTTGATTAATTGTGGAAGGTATTTGATTTTGATTTCCTTATTCTGTTTCTGTTTTAGTGTTCTGATTATTGACTGTTGAATGTGGAAAAGCATTAAATATTTGATTAATGAAATCAAAATCTATTGCTTTATGCATATTGCAACGCCGTATATGTGATCATTAAGTACAGAAAATGGCATGAGAATTTAGAAACTGACAGTAATTACCTTAATGCATATTGTGAATTAATCACAGTAACATTTTCTAAATCATAGATTATGCGAGTTGATCATTGAGTGATTGTGTTATGGAGTTTCCGATTGAATGCCGTGAGTTTTTTCTGAAGAATGCTCGAATTTCGGCATTCCTGGTGGCTTGATAGCTTGGCTTGATTAATTCACACGGTTCTGCATTGTCTCAATTGGCTTGTTGTTTAAGTGCTTATTCGGAGTTCGATAGTTAAATGATGGTCTTTTTCGAGTAGATGCTAACTGAAACAGAATAAGAACCCATGGCTTATTACCGTCTGATAAGGCAAAACAATATTGTTGGTGGATATGCTGTTCAAGTCACCAATAATATAGTGTAGAAACCTTGCTGAAACTGATACATGTGTCTTTGAGAACATGACTGAATTGAACTCCTTAGGTCATAATCTCGGCAGCAAAACTTGAGAAAGAATCGATGATTTAGATTTTAGAGGACTGGATCATATACGCCGCCAAAACTTTGCTGATGTGGGTACCAGTGTGTCTGAGACCTGTTATAGATGTGTTAATTGTTAGGCACTAATGGCAGCAAACTCGAGCCATGGAAACTTCTGAAATTTAGAGAATTGAATCTATTATTTCCGAAGCTTTTCCGAAGTTTTCAGAATTCTTATTCTTGTAGTTCCCTGGTAAAGGAAGGTGCTTTCAGGGAAATTATCCTCAGTCCTGTGAATTCAAGATTCTTTTGAAGAATATTAGTGGTAAATATCATACCACACAAACCCTGCTGAAGTTATAAAATAAGTTGCAGAAAGGATTAAGTAGTAATAAACTCAAAACATTATTCTTGGTGGTCAGATGCGATGCGCCTCTGAGAGACGGTTCACTTGAATTTCTGAAGTTTTGGGTGCTGCCCTACGACTCGGCCATAGATCTTTCATGCATATTTATTTCATCTGGCAATGAAGATGCTGCTGCTGCCGTTGTGAACAATTCCATGATTTATCGTCCCTTGGGTTATGCTTTATGATATCTAAGCCTTTTACTTTCAGATCATCAGTAACGAAAGATGAGCTAATTTTATAGTTTGGGTTGTTCAATACTTGCCTCAACTCTGGATATTTATTGACATGCATTCTTTTTTAATAGTTTGGAGGTGAAACAGGGTAGTATTAATTCAAAATATTTCTTATTCATCGGTAACGGAACACATCCTGCAGATACAAGTGCTCGAACCTAATAACATTTGGGAGAACAATACTCTCCTTAACCATTGGGTTAAAAGTTGCTATTTCCGAATTAAAGTGTACCCATTAAATAATTTCGTTAAAAAAATCAATTGGTCCAACGGTTTTTAGTTGATCAATTTGACACCTTAAGTTTTCGGTTTTCTGTCCAATTAGATATTCATACATGTCCCTAAGGCTCAATTGGACACTTAAGATGTTTTTTCTATTTGGTCCAAATAGGCATTTAAATTTAGCTTTTTGGTTCAAATTTGTAATTGAACTTGGGTCTGTTTATTTGGGTGTAATTAGTTTTCTGAAAAATGAATTTTGAAAAATAAATTACATTTTTTGGAAAATGTTTTCTAGAAAATGTTATCCAGGAAAAAGAATTACATTTTTCTGGAAAATGTTTTACGATGTTTGAAAGATGTTGTTTAAACATTTTTTTCACTAGTTGATGAGTTTTTTAAAAATTATTTATTACAAATATTAAATACAATAAATAATATTGTTTATCATAAAACTTAATATAATTATTTTTAAAATATTAAAATAATTTATTTATTATTAAATATTATTTTTATAATTTTATTAATAAAATATTAATATTGGTATATTTTATTGAAATAAAAATATTATAAATTATATTATTTATTTATTAAAGTAATAGTGTTCTATTATAATTTAAAAATGTTAATTAGTATATTTTAAATATCTTTATTAAAATATTATTAGATTATTATATTAATATTAAATATATATATAATATTATTCATTATTAATAATTTAATAATATTATTTCTATGAAATTAATAAATAATATAAATTTTATTAATAATTTATTATATATTATTAAAATAAAAATATAATATCTTATATTATTATAATATAATTGAATATTTTATTATAATATTAAAAATATAATATTATATTATTATAAATATTAATAAATATATTTTAATATTTTAATAATTAATATTTTGATTAATTTGATATTAAAATATTTTATTAATATTAAATTTATAAAATAAAATTATTTTGAGTATTTATTCTTTGAAGTGAAAAGTTCGAAAAATGACTTACGGAAAATCAGATCGTAAGTCATTTTCCAGAAAACACAAAGGAAATTATGTTGATCAGGAAAATGTTTTACGTTGACTAACCAGTTTTCCTCCAACCAAACACTGGAAAACATTTTCCGAAAAATAAATTACACAAGATTTGGGGGAAAACCAATTCCGTAATTAGTCTTCCCCAAACAAACATACCTTTATTTTTTGTCCAGATTAGTATTTATAATAAAGAATTAGTCTACAATGAATGCCACATACGGATATCTACCAATATTTATAAATAATTATTAAACTATGGTAAAATAATATTTTTGTTATTAAACTTAAAAAAATTTTAAAGTGGGTATTTAACTTTGTATTTTATTAAAAAAAAAGCTGTTATATTTAACTATCATTAAAGGACTAATGTAACATACTAAATCAGTAAAAAAATATCTCATTTGTCTCCTCAATTTTGATTATTTTTTTATAATTTTTAATATTTCTAAGTATTAATTCCAAGATTTAAAAAAGTTACATTTTAAATATATGGATTTTTAAAATTTTATTTTAAAAAATATAAATACATTTTAAAATTATATTTAAAAATATTAAACAAAAGTTAAATAGGTCACTAACATTATTTAATAAAAATTGATTTTATTTCTTTATAACTGAAATTATGGGATATAGAACATTATAAATTATATCAATACAATCATAATTAAATAAAAATAATAATTTATAACATTTTTTATGAATTAACAAATTCATAAAATTATAATTTTTAAAAAATACTTTTACAAATTTAGAAATAAATTGTGAATATATATGTATATATATTTATATTTTAAAAAATATTTTTTATTAATTTAATATGTCACGTTATTCCTTTAATGATAGCTAAAGATGTGGTCTCGATTTTATAATAACATTTAAACTTTAATGCCTGTTACATAACTTTTAAAAGTTTAATGTTCAAAAAGATTATTTTAATATAGTCTAATGACCATTTAAAAATTTTAATATATAAAATTAGTGATTCATTTCAATGTATGACATCCATTTAAGGTTTTTTCATAAAAGATTTGTTTGAACCAATTGAATCACGGAGTCAACTTAAAATACCAAACTGATTTATAAACTAAGTTCAAGCACCAAAATGTCTGTTTACCCAAAATGGAAAATGAAGTAGAAATATGCACGTATGGCTTAAGACAGGCGCGTGTGATGTGATACCTTTAACGCGGATATATCCGAAAACAAAACAGAACAAAAAGGAAATTTGAAAAAGTAAAACACCCGCAAATACGATTGCTAGTTGTATTAATTATTTTATATATTATGCCCCTTTAAGTGAATCCAACCAGATATGCTAAGACTTGGTCCTTATTATTAACAATGTCAAATTAAATATACCTTTTTAAGCCAGAAAATGACTCATCTGGAAATACTTTTAGTGGTTATCTAAAAAAAAATTCTGGTAACGGGATTGTTCAAGTGGTAAGAAATTTAATATCACTTAAATAATTTTTAAGTTTGAGGCATTATGCATGTAAAAAATCTCTTATGGAAGATCCATCTACCGAAGTCTAATGTGCGATACAGGTCGATCTGAATTCAAGGAGAAGTCCCGGAACCGAGAGGGCAAAAAAGGGAATTCCTTTGCTCACATGAGTGAAGTAAATTAGAATTTCAGTTTTTAATAGTTTAGGACGATTACAAAGATATTATATGTTCATAATCTTTTTTATCCGTTGATGACTAACACGCACCTTATTAATGCGATTACCTAGACTCAGAGTCATCTCAAACATTTTTGGGGCCCTGAGCGAAAATCAAAAGTAGGTCCTGATTGAAGGAAAATATATTATATTACTTTAAACAATTAATTTAATATCGTATGAAAATTATTAAACTTTTTTGAACATTAATTTCATTTTTTGTTAAGAAAGCACCTAAAATACGACTAAGAGAATAAAAAAATCAAATGTGGGTATAAATTATGATATAGAGCTTTATTCTGAATAATAAATTAAAAAAATAAAGAATAACATATTATGTTATCGTTAGATTGAGATTAGAGAAGACTAAGAGTTAAAGAATATTTGGTAAATTAAAAAATAAGATTTGTAAAAAACGAGACAAATATAATTAGAAAGTGGGATTAAAACATTAGAGGCATCGATTATAAAGGTAGAAATTGAGATTGAAAAATTTAGGGCCGTCAATTGGAAAGGTAGAAAGTGAGATTGAAAAAAACTTAAAAGCCTCAATTATAAAGTTAAAAGTGAGATTACAAAATTAAGAGCCTCAATTATAAAGATAAAAAAAGGGGATTGAAAAAATTAGAGATCACAATTATAAAGATAAAAAGTGAGATTGAATATCATTAGGACATCAATTATAAATGTAAAAAAATAAGATTTAAAAAATTAAGGACCTAATTATAAAATGAAAAAAATGGTGACTCCAGTTACAAAGATGAAAAATTGAGGGCCCTGAGCAATCGCTCAGTCGCTCCCCGTAATAGCCGGGTCTGTCTGGACTTCAAAAAGGATAACACTTCATTTTGACCATTGAGACAACTCAATGCTAGGGATGGCAAACGGGTGGGTCGGGTGCGAATACCCCCTCCCCCATCCCCATACCCATATAATATTTTTCAATCTACCACCCGCCTACCACCCATGATGGGTAAAAATTTTCAAATCCACACCCGCCCACGCGGGTACATTCTCAAGTCCATCCCCACACTCACTACCCACTGGAGACGTACCCGGCTAGACCCGCCTGACAACAAACTTAAGTTATACATAAGCAACAAACATAAAACAAACACATCTATTAAGAAACATAATAAAATAAACCAATGATTATCTGAGTTAAGTGTTAATATAGATCTTAAAGTACATAAAACATCATAATAAAAGACATAATTAAAGTCTAGAAACATAAATGACAAACACATAATGTTTTTGTTCTTTGGCACAACATTCTAAAATTTCAAGCAATACTTGTGACATCTGATACTCTAGTATTACAATCATCATTCTCATAAAACACCATAATAAAACACCAATATTGCAAAATATTCGGTTGAAATTTGAATTTGAAAAAGTCAGTTTCAATGGCGTTAAAAATGGAGGTTTGAGAAGCACAAGTGAAACACTTAATTCTATTCAGTGGCGTTAAAAATAGAGATTTGAGAAACAACGATCTGACTCTGTTAGCAAAAAATGTGGGTGCTCAGTCACAAGATACTGATTTGTAGAACATTAAGAAATTAAGCTTAAAACAAACATTAAGATGAATCTAAAAAATAATTAAAAATCAGTACGAGCAAATAAAAATTAAACTCTTAAAACGAAATGCAGAGGAGCTTAAAACGAAATGACTACGGAATTGACTCTTACAAAAATTAAATTTCAAGTAAAAAGGGAAGAAAAATACCTGAATAAGCTTGAGAGTGAAGACAAGAGGTTTGAAAGAAAAAATTTATGCATAAACTTATCCCTAATATTTGGTTAAATTACAAGTTATATCTTATACAATATTAAGATTTATAAATTAGCTCTTAAAATTACACCTAAATTCATAATGGTCCAAAATTTAATGGATATTTAGTTGGGCGGGCGGATGCGGTGCGGGCGGATGCGGGGCGGGTGGATGCGGTGCGGATGCGGGGCGGGTAAGGTCTCAAACCCATTACCCGCCCATTACCCGCGACGGGTACCACTTTCTAAATCCACACCTGCCCACTACCCACTAAAATTATACCCATCCCCGCCCCAATTGGAGCAGGTGCGGTACGAAATCCACGAAATTGTACCCGCTTGCCATCCCTACTCAATGCATTATAAAATTTGAGATTTTATGTGGAAAGTTTCGGATTTAAACTCTATCCAATAAGTATATTATAATACTACAATTAAAATAAACAAGCACTAAATGGAGAATTCAATTGAATAATAAAAAGAATGAAGGGCATAATTTCCTAACTATAACAACTTAGGGGTAAGTTGACCATGTCATCCATTCCTATCCATGATTACTGGTTAGGGACATAAATTCAGATGGTCACTCTGGATTGCTCACCCGTATGCTAGCATGCTATTGCTACTAACTAAAACGTATTGCATCCCAAAATATATGTACAAAAAATGAGAGGTTGACCCTTAACCTAGTAAATTTGATCAAATTAACCCCTACTTTTTTATATCAACCAAATAAATCAAGGACTAATTTGAAAAAAATGGTTTTAAGGGAAAATACAAATGAAATAACTTTAAAAAATTGATTTTAATTTCATATAAAACACTGTTTAACAGTTTAAACAGTAAAACGAGCCTGGACCTTTTTTTAATTAAAAAAAATTAGATTACCGCCCAACCCGACTCATAAACGGGGATAATCATTAGCTAGATCGGATTTTTGGCTCATCCGAAACTGACTCGAAAATTAACTCCTTTCACATGTATCCTACTCCACTTAGATTTAGGAGGGTCTCATCTGATTCAAAATTCAACTTGAATTTTAGGTCAAAATTCACACCGAATTCGACCTATATATATATTATAAATTATTTTTATTGATAAAATAAGAACCTAATTGAAAAAAATAAAATAAAAAAGGTATTATTCAATTATCCTTAAATATATAAATGTATAAAGATAATTATAATATTATGGCGGATTAAGTGTTTTCATCCTAAATTTGAATCCAAATTTAACTCGATCCTATTCTTAAAAAAATTGATTTGAATCTAATTTTTTTTAAATAAAAAACCGACCTAACTAAATCAGACAGGTGAACTGAAATGATCTTTCATGCTCATGAACAACTCAAAGTTTCGTCCATAAAACTAACTACAATTATTTGAGGAATTTAGGGATGTTCAAATGGTCGGTTCGGCCATCGACCAAATTCTTATTAATCGTATTAATCAATTTTTTGTTTAATCATTAATCGAACTGATTTTCTTTAAATCATTAGTTCAACCGAACAAAGTTTGATAAATTCTCTCGATTATAATAGTTCAATTAAATTGAGCTTAATAGATCTTTTTTATTTGGATTAAAATTTAATTAGGTCTTGACAATTTAATGAGTCTATCATGGTTAAAAAAATGGTTAGATCTTAATTCTTAATGGAATTGAGCTTAAAATAATATATTAAATATTTAATATTTTCAGTTAATTCGATTAATTAACTGATTTCGAACAACATATTAAAAGAAATTAATTATTTCATTTTAATTGAACTAATTTAGAGGATTGAAAAAACATGAACTCATGATAAATAAAAGGAAAAAGGAAAAGAGAAAGTGGGGCTGACTGCTTCAACATTAGATTCATTGGATGGAAAGTAAGACGGGGACACAAGTGAATTAAAATAATAGGACAAAAGGACATTACCATCTCTATATGTTTCATTGCATAACCGCGTGGAAGTTTCCAACAATCCGAAACCCAGTCCCCAAATTTCCAATTTCACTCGGCAAAAAGCCTCTTCCATCATCTATTTAAGCCAACTTCGCACACCCATTCCAATCAAAAACATCTACAGGTAATCACAGTCGATGAAGTTGGCAACCGGTTTCCGATTTTTCCCGACCGAAGAGGAGCTAGTTTCGTTCTACCTACGCAACCAGTTAGTCGGCACAACGCAACAGATGCACCTTGTTATCCCTGTTCTCAACATTTACGACATCGAGCCATGGGACCTTCCTCGTATAGTTTTCTTCACTGCCTGCTCATTATGTTCATGAATGCTACATATATGCACAGAAATGAATGGTACAGTAAATTAACCTGATTGGGATATTATGTTTGCAGAGCTTGCAGGGGAGCTTTGTAGAGCAGACACCGAGCAATGGTTTTACTTCACACCGAGACAAGAGAGGGAAGCTCGGGGAGGGAGGGCTAACCGAACTACGGCTTCTGGATATTGGAAGGCAACGGGATCTCCCAGCTATGTCTACTCATCAGATGATCGAGTGATCGGAATGAAGAAAACAATGGTTTTTTACAAGGGAAAAGCTCCTGCCGGGAAGAAAACTAAATGGAAGATGAATGAGTATAGAGCCATAGAAGCAGTTACAACTACTCCAATGGTAAACACATGGTGTTCTTTTAGATTTAAAGCTCATTACAAACTTGTTCCTTTTCTAATCACCATTTGCTCGTTTTACCTTTTTACTAAATGCAGTTGAGACACGAATTCAGTTTGTGTAGAGTCTATGTGGTATCGGGCAGCTTTCGAGCATTCGATAGACGGCCCCTCCAGCATGTGTCACGGGGAACACAACTTCACGACAACAGGACTGCAACATCTTCTGAAAGAGCCTCTATGATGGATATAACATGCCTCTCGTGTGCTTCACTTTCTGGAGGAGACCATTTCGATCCACCCGAAGCAAGCGACGATGATATTTGGGAGATGGTTAATGATCTCGAAGAACCTCCCTTGGGATGGGAATGAATGAGCTGGACCTGATTCAAGCAAACATCAGTAAGCAAGCAGCCCTTTATGTGACTCGATATGATAATACCACAAACATGAGCAAAATCTAACTTTAGAAAGTAGCGGTTTTCATCCTCGGACATGTAGGTTATCGGAGATGTAATAGAAAATAAGCGAAGATCAAAATCATTTTATGTAAAATGGGATTAATTTTTTTTTCTTCGAGAAATCGGAGCTGGGAAAAATCCCATTGTTTCTGTACAGATATCTGTTCTCAGCCATCATTCTGAATCCCCATTGAAAAACTACCATGCCAAATAACCTGGAACAAAGAAAACAAAATAACTTGAAAAAAATCGAAGAAATATGACACAGAGTTTAAAGAAAGACTACTGATAAGCAGTGGATTCATTAAAAAAAGAAAATAATAACACTCAATAATGAAACAAGAAAAAATGTTGTCGGCCCATTGCTCGGTTGACTCGTTAAACATCTAAGCCAATTTTCAGTTGTCATAATCATGCATGCCTGTATGCCACCAAGGAGTTGGACTGCTTGTAATCAAAGAGTCATGCAGACCTCAGTGATGGCATTTTGTTTACTCCAGCAATTCGTTTTTCTCGAAGTGTCCTCGTTTGACACTTGTATCCTATGAATATCCACATATAGGTATGGGATATTGAGCTTTCATGATCCTCCAAATACATGGAAAACATTAGAAAAGAAAAAAAAGAACATACCCCATATCTAACACTCGCACCCAAATACGGGTAATATAGTTGCAATCTGAACAAAGTTCGAATCCTAACTCGACAAGAATATTCCATCTTATAAATAGAAGTCACCTTCTACAACATAGTTCAAGTATGTTAATATATTCAGAAGGCTTGGCTTGGTAATTATCGGTTTTTTATTAATACCATTTCTGCTCAAGTTCCATGGTTGACTTGTTCCACTGGTTATGAACATAAGATTATAAATAAGCTCAATCTACAAATTAAGTGTTTCAAAGGTTAGAGGTCACAACCTTGAAAAATCTTTGAAAGTTCACTTGTCAACATAGAGCGATGACAGCTCGTCTACAACAACGTTTCAAAAGTTTTGAACAAACCATCTCAAAACATCAATGGTTTACCTACCCAACAAGCATTGATGCTGTAGTCAATCCACATCGAACTTGATGACGTTCCATCGCCTATTCAATGTACTGGAGATTGGAGACAACAAATAACACTGTAAAAATCGTCAAAAGATTTAAGATAAAATCAAAAGTAACAAGGAATTTCACATTATGACAACAAAGAGGTTCATGGTATTGAATTCAACATGTTTGAAATTGGAACCGCCAAATATTTCTTCAAACTCTTTGACCTCTGTTTTTTGTGGGACAACTATCAGTATAAAAATCATTTTCAGTCATAGAACATGCCTAAAAATTGGTTATACATCATCACTATGTATCCTCCGTTGTCCAAAAACATGTACAATCGAGCTAAATATCACGATTCACATAATTAGCAGCTTTGGCAATTGCATAGGTATGCATATCCATATGAATATATATGCCTTCAACTCCTTTTCTCCACTAATACATTTCTGAACGATCAGGATAGCTTCTAAATGTGCTAGAAACATTCTCAAAGTAGTCTGAAAGTCAACCCTCACTTTCTACAAGCTCGGTTTTGAAGATTCATCACCGCTAAATTGATCTGTAAAAAAATGTCATATGATCCGACTATAATTCCAGTATTAGCATGTTTTTCTAGTCATTATGAGATTAAAATGAGTAAATAACAGCTAATGTTTTAGCAATCTATTATCAACGACTTCGAGTTCATTGCTCATTGTTTCGACTTATCTCATCAATAGCTTTGACTTAGTGCTAAACACTACAATCAAAATGATTTTCATTTCAGGAGAAAATGAAAGGTCAACTGTGTGTTCCTGCAGTTCCATGCAGAAGTGTATTCCAAAACTTCTCCTACATGAGTGGATAACACATAAATGACCCGAGATTCGACCTAATACCGACTACTCCGTTTGACAAATTTGTGACACTAACACGACCACATCAGTATTCGTTCTTTTTCACCATTTTTAAATATCAGAGAGATGACATCGTTTACTAATAGTCAAGTATTTAAACAATAAGGCAAAAGATCACTACCAAAGACAACTATGTTAGCCAACATCCAATATTAACCCCCACTAGTTATTCACATTTTGTTCCCATTGAGTGGAACAAACAGCATAAATATCAGACAAAGAACATGTTCCTCCAATTGCTTGGTTCATTGGTTTCGAATGAAAAGTCCTAACCTTTCTTTTTGTCTTAAAATCTTCAATCGATTCTCAAAAGCAAATTCAATAGGGTCATCTAGGAAGGAGTTATTAGCTTATCCTTTCGTTGAAACCTACAGCTCAGAGAGCAGAAACCAAACGAGACTGATACAAAGCGCCCTATTTGAACAATTATAAACTAAAAAGAACCCAGATTTATTCCATCCTAGAAAAACTCAAAATGAACCCTTTTTTACAGAGTCTACTGAAAACGGCAATTGGACAAATAAAATGCTTACCTTGGGCTTGTTCTGGTCCCTTTCTCTTGCAACCTTTGTATAGTAGAATCTAATGGCAATGGACAAATATAGAGAGATGATAATCTGCTTAACCAGACAACAAAAGAAACAATTGTATTTGTTTTACATTGTTTTATTAGCTAAAAGATGGATATATGTTTGCTTTCTGGATTATTTGCCATGTTCAACTTCAAGACACTTAATTTTTTGACCCATTTTTCTGTATTTATGCATTATGCTATCACAAAACGGTGGCTCTGCTGGTATTTCCAGTGTTTAACTGTGTAGATTATAGTTAAAAAAATCATTGTTGAAAAATATTTTTTTTGGAAAGTTTAAAATTTTCTTAAAAGTATCTAAGAGTATAAAAAGAGGTAAACGATGGTGGCGCCAAAGATGAGTTGGCAAGCTTCATCGTTGTGTAATTCAACTGCTGTTAATTTCTTTTTTGTATATACAATGTGTTTTTAAATTAATAAATTTTAGTTTTGAGAACTCAGACCAACTATTAGTCTGTCTCTAGGTAATTCAATTTATTATCCGGCTGGTGCCGGTAATAAAATTTAACTTAATTTCAGTTTTACTATAAATAGTTACCTTTTAACTTTTAGCTAAGCTTAAACATTACAACATTCACATATAGTTAGGGATGGGCATGGGACCTGAACCGATGAGTTCCGATGGTTTTTTAAAGGTGATGTTCGAATCGGGTCGGATTTGGGTTTAAGGTGAAAAATATCGACCCGAAAAAAATATAATCTTTATATTTAGAAATAATTACAATAATATCCCTCTATATATTATTTTTTCAATTAAATCACTATTTTTATTGAATAAAAATAATATTTTTATTATTTCGGACCGGGTCGGATTGAGTCGGATTTTATCTCAAAAAATCGGGTCGGGTGGAGGGTATATATTTTTCGGGTCGGGTGAATGATGTAAAATTTTCGAATCGGGTCGAATTGGCCGAAACCCGACCCATGCCCATCCCTACATATAGTTTAATCTGCCGGTATGTATTATGTAATAAGCAATCACAACTTTTATGTTTAATCGTATAATTTTAGATTAATTTCTTCATTACTATATTTGTTTTATTACGATAAAATTCTATAGATATTGTAACATGATACACGAACGAATTCTTAGAGGTAAAATATTTTGAAGTCAATGTTTTTTTTTAACTTCAAAAACATCCTATAATTCTAATAATTTGACTTCAAGAACCTACGGAAGAGAGAGCATATAATTTTTTTGGGTAAACTATGTGTATTAAGTTATTCAATTATTCTCGTGATTTTATTTTAGTCACTTAACTGTATTTTCAAAATCATATCTAACATTATATTTTGGTAATCAGTCGTTGATGATGATATCTCAACGTAATGTAATGCTACATTATCATTAAAAAAATACCACGTCACCAGTTCTATTTTTTTAGCAATAGGTGACCAAAGAGGAATCAAAGTGTAATATTAGGTATGATTTTGAAAAAAATTAGTCGAGTGGCCAAAACAGAACTGCAAGGATTGGGTGACTAACTACATAGTTTATCCAATTGTTTTTATAAAAAAAATATAATTTGAAGTAATTAGTTTATAATTTTTTTAAAGTTATAAACAACACAAATACCTCACAGTTACATACGCAACTACTTAAATTTATTTTTTTAATAAAGAATAACCTTCTTCTATCACTAAAATTACTCATTAAATATATACAATTAAGAACACATGGGAACAAAAACTATGTTGCAAGATTGTGGGTATATCTACATCTATATAATAAATAAAGGCCTAATGATATATTTTACTTTGATTTTTTAAAATATTTTAATTCTTAGGCTCTCCTTCATCTATTTTGACTTTTAAGCTTTTAGTTTTTTATTAAACTAAATTAATTGATCAAAATAGTATACATGTTAAAGTGACATCAATTTTTTATTACCATTGAAATCAATTATATTATCTATTCATATAAAAAATAAAAATAATTTAACAAATGATAAATATAAAAAAAATATGAAACAGTTAAATCATTAAAAAATATAAAAAATTATAAAACTAAGAAATAAAATGGTGATGTGATATAGTATAATAACAATTTTGGTCCATAAAATTATGCATTATGTCAGATTGGTCATAATCCAAAATAATTTAATATTTTTAATGTTTAATAATTTTATCAATTAAATTCCCATTTTAAATTGAAATAATACATATTTCCCTATTTAAAATATTATATTAAAAATTTCTCTATTTCTTTTTATATATCACTTAAATAATTAAGTGTTCACATAACGAATGTACATAGAATTAATATATAATTATATAAAAAAATCGAAGCAAAATTTTGGTTAAGCAAGGCTGAGCTCAAACTTGAGAAAATTTGAATAAATTAAGTTTAGTTTGAAATTAATTCTGATTGAAATACCATTTAAACGTATAATGTATTTAAAGGATTGTAAATATTGAAACATAATTAAATTTATGTATTTCATTTGAAACCTAATTTTAATTTTTTTTAATAGAAAAGGTGCCTAGAGGCCAATACAGGAATTAACTTCTAAAAGTAAGGAGGGCCATTAAGGTCCCCGTCAAGAAGGTGAATAACTCCCTTAGGAGGGCTCGAAAAGATAGAGGTTACCCCATATAGGGATGAGACGATTTAGCCATGAAATC